ACGACAGACTGACAGTTTCGAAAAGATCGGTCTTGCATTCGACACTTCTGGATGCGGGTGGCGGCGGCGTTAACGATCGCCCTGCGGAAACGCCCAAAGGCGACGGGAGCCGCGTTCGGATCTAACGCGCACGCACGCACATACGCACGCACGCACGCACGCACGCACGCGACACCTCGTCGCTTTTCGGTCGACACGCGCATCGTCATGCATACCGTAACGCCGTAGGAGCTGTCGAAGCGGGGCCGGGGGTAACAAGTCAATTCGCCGTACAACTTCGTCACCCGGCGCCGCTTCCCGTCGGGGCTGCGAGCGGATAATAGCGCAGCGGTAACTCTCGTTCCCGCATTGTTCGAGTCGATCAAGATCGCGGTGGGGGGGGGGGGAGGAAGAGGGGTGAGAGAGGGAGGTCTCGCGGTCCGTCCGCGTCTGTCCGTTTTATTTTAATCGGAAAATTTTCGACGATCTTCGACGAGGAGATCAAGTTCATAGTCCGATCTTACATTCGGGATCGCCTTGAAATTATCTAAAGATGCTGTATAAAACGTTTCACTGGCTACGGAGTATCTAGAGATGATCTTAAGACGAACTTGAGCGTAAGATCTGATTATGAATATCGCCCTGAGAGGCCAATTCGCGTTCACGCAATTGGAGATTTTCACGGGCGCTCGTCGGGTTAATGTTGTCAGCTGCGTGCGTTTAATGCGAGATAAATATTGACGCAATTAGTTAATATTAATCATTTTCGTTACGATGCACTTTCGCTTATTGAATATTTAACGCGTTAAATTGACGCGGTTGCGCAAGGAACGGGGTAATTTTCGCGGCCCGCCCCGTCGTCCGTCTTTACGTACACCCTCAGAAAGAATTTCTGTCACCGAGACAAAAAATATTCCTGACGCATTTATATTTATCACGACCTCATTTGGTATAAAAATAAGACGATATCAAAATAAAATCTACAATTTTTATTCTCCTCTATCGAATTAAAACAGACTTACTGTATCGAGGCAACAGTAACTTATACTCTGGATAAAAAAAGACAGTTGGCAATCCACTTGCAGACCCAACAGACTTACTATATTGAGACAAGAGTAACTTATATAAATGTTTATATATTCTTGCGGTTAGAATCAATTTTCCCTCCATCTTACAACGCACGAAGTTGGCACCGCGATACTCGACAAAAGACGATACATACTATCATTTTATTCTAGAGTTTAGTGCCGCTATATCGATCCTATTTTGTGATACATTGAAGCGTAGCATTGGATCCGCAAATTTTTTCTGCGGTTGTATTTTAAAAAGATACACTTTTCTCTCTTGACACGAATAAACTGTTTGAAAACCAGAGCGAATCTGTCCGCAGGATGGTCTTCTACAGTTTCGCATCCGCGGCTTGTTTTCGCAAGAAGTGGGAAAAAATAGTTAATTAACTTTCCTCTATTTAACCGTGTCATAATCTCAACTGCGAAAGAGAGGACGCGCTAATTTGTATATATCCCGCGATCGGAGGCCTCTCAAGTGCCATAAATGCCGCAGCGTAATAAAAAAATACTCGAGCCCTCCCGTTGAGCGTATAACTTTTCCTCCCCCGTATTCAAATCGTTCCCAAATAGGACATAATGTAAAATAATGACGTTATTGATACGGAAGATAAGCGCGTCCCCGCGACAGCTCGGAGGACCACCCCGACAGCCGAATATCGAGCCACCCCTGTCCCGATTCCACCCCTAACGTCGTCTGCTCGCGACGTAGCCTCACAAAGAAGGTCGCGGGCCTCCGCTCTCCCACCCTTAAAAACGCTCGTAAGTGATTTCCTTCCCGGATAATCCCCCGATGTCTCTATAATATTAATCAACGATAACGGCACTCGAGTCGATAATCAATTACCGCCGACGAAAATTATTCATCACGCGCGACACCTAAATTTCTATTATTCCGCCTAAAATGGACACGCGAAACGTCGACTTGACCATTTTATCCTTAGTGACATTGATTTAATCGTATTTGGCTTGTAATGAATATTGATTCGATGCCCGAAAACGTGGATTAAGTACTAAGTGCGGGACTTAATATATTACTCCATTTTTGAGGTAATATATTATGATATAAATATATTGTGCCGCGCGCGAAGGCAACTTGCTGTCTATATATAATCTCCGTTTTAGGTTGCAGAAAAGCTGTACTCCGTAATTGCCCTGATATTACAAAACTTAGTTCGAATTAAATCAAAATTCAGGTCGCACAGATGGCGAAAGGAACTCGCGCATTAACATTTGCCGCGTTGCTAAAAAAAAGATTTCCACTAAGAAAGGGTACACGGTGGCGCGTATGTGTCATCGATTTATCGTTATCTACGGATTTCGCTGGGTATATTCTCGCATGCTAAAACCAAGTCAATTATGTCATAGACGTAAGGAGCACGAAGAACTAGAACGTCTTTCAAAAATGCACATGTTTCATTGAATACGCAAAGATTAACGCGGCCTCCTGTCGAGATGACGCGCAGCCAGATAGCTAAGCATTTATTTTTAATCCTTTTCGTGCGCTGCAAAAAAAACGAGTCGAACGTTGGGATATTTATTTCGCGTTAATCCTCGCGACTTATTCAACAGGGGATGTCGAGATGCCGAGTTATCGGGACGTCGGCATAAATGGATTTACTTTGCAGCGTGAATAATTTCGCGGGGAAAGTGACACGTTATTGCTTTCGTGCCAATTAAATCATTCAAGTTTGTCACCCGGTAATTCCCTCGCAAGCGACGGAAATTCCCTTGTACCGTGGAAGAAAAGAAACAAAGGAACGCCGTGGCAGCGCGGGGCCAGGGGGTCAATTCTGTATCTTGTAACGAATTCGGCGGCTTGAACTAGTGCGCACTGAGCTCACACCAAGGTTCAGAGTCTACGATTATATTTATATTAGTCTCGAGTACGTGTCCAAAAATTGTTTAGCCAAGAAAATGACCCGTACGAATACCATACAGATCTTTTTACTGGCTAAGAAGTATTTCAAAAAGTATTTAAGGCGACCCTTAGGGCCTAAGCAGAATGGCTGTCTTGTGCTCTTAAGACAATGTTTCGTGTTTTAAATCTTTGTTAAAGTAAGTCTTAAAGTAACAATAACTGTCTTGTGTCTTTAGGGGACGCTGGAGTGATTCTGCACTTTTGGCACTTTTTGCTCCTAAAAGTGTCAATTCGTGAAAATATTTGTGTAATATACAAATTATGTGCCAAAGTGCCAAAAGTGCAGAATGACTTCAGCACCCCCTTAAGAATAGAAAACAGCCATTCTGCTCCGGCCCTTAAATATAAGAGTGCACCGTAAACAAGCCTTAGTGCGCACTGGTATAATCCGCCGAATTCGCTATTAAGCTATAATAAAAATGCTAAAAGCGAGTAGCTCTGACGCTTTCTAACTGGCCCTTTAGAAGGAGGCAAAGCCGTTCTCACTTTTAGCGTTTTCGCTATATTGTGAGATACAGAATCGACGCCTAGGAGTCGCGTTAACGACTCGCAGCTGGAATTGCCGTAGGACGAGGGCAGAAATTTTCTCGTCGATCCGCTCGCGAGGCTCTCGGTAATAGCGCAGGTGTCGTGTTATACGCTCCTGTGTCTATCACCCACACCCCCCCGAAACATCGTGACTTCGCTCGGTAAGGGCGAGACTATTACTACGCAGGGTTGGATTGGATACGGGGAAAAAAGTCCCGGCTTCCCTTCAGGATCCGTTAGATGATCGTGCTCGTTATTTTTTTTTCCCCCGGCCGGAGGCTCCTCCTACCGCCCCGCATTATCTTGGCAGACGCCTCGTCCTCCCCCGCTGATACCTCGCAAGACAGATGGCCCGGTCATTTTGCCGGCGAACCACTAAATACAGGGTGTGTCCTCTCTCGATCACGGGGGAAGACGCGCGCGGCAACCGTTTCGTTTCTCTTGACTCTCGAGGCGTCTGCGTTCGAGGGAGAACTCGATTTCGAGCTCGGCCCCGAGTTGACGTTCGCCCCCGCGCGCTCGAGATCTCGCACGCGCGCGGCTCCGCCGCCGCTCTTTCGCCCTCGAACTTCGGGAAGTCATTTAATAATTAATATCTAATTAATTTCGAGACATTTGCTAATTGACTTCTTACTTCGGGGCTGAAAACCGCCCGGCCTCCCCGGGACCTCCGACGTCAAACATTTCCCCCGTGATTGAAACTGGCGCTGGAAATTATTTCGGCGTCTCGGCGTGAACGAAAGTCATTATTAGCCATTAAGTTTACGCGATCTTTGTTTGAATTGTCAAGGCTGAGTCGGCCGACAACTTGGCTCGCGCTAAACTTTTTTCCGCGAGGGAAAAGTTGATCTCAAATTTGCCGAGCGCACGCTCCCCCGAGTTTGATGTAAACTTCATGAAACACCCCGTATACCAGCTAGATCCCGGTGCCTCCAATTTGTTTTCTCATGAATACTTTCCTCCGATCCTGGCGACGGCGTGAATGCACCGCCTGCGCAGCCGCACTCGCAATAAATACAGGTAGTCGTCAGGAAAGTCTGTAGACGAGAGCTTTAGGGTAGACCTCGCTCGCTGCTGCTCTCGTTAACTTTCACGCGCGAGGACGAGGCAAGTTAGCGCAACGGCCGAAATTCGTGAACACGTTCTCCCACGATTTATCCGAGCAATACATGGCGGAACGCGCGTACGAATTTTTCTCTCCTCGGAAGCGAAAGAGAGAAAAGTGGTCGCAAGACGCGAAATCGAATCGCGACTTTCGCAAATTCCCCTCAGAGAGTGCGTCAAATAAATTCTCTCTTTTGATACAAGCGGATCGAGGTTTCAGCCGCTTCGCGAGCCCTCGCTCGGCATAAAGAGACAGCGAATTCTCAGCCGTCCAGTTTAGCTTAACAGGCGACCGTCCAAGTCGCGGGCTAACATCGAGCGTGAAACGCATCGCGGGGAAGCTCGCGGGCGTCGAGAGACAGCGGCGCGCGTGCACGCGTTCTCGGCGGATTCCGGGACACCCCGTGGCGGCGCCCGCGCGCGACAGCCCTGCGCGGCAGCGCGCTCGGCACGTTCTCCACCACCGCCGCCGCCTCCACCACCGCCTTGGTCGGCGCGTTAGGGGGTTGTACATCGCGCGGGCATCGAAACGCGTCGAAACGCGAGGCGGCCGGATCGGACCGACTCGCGAATCGATCGGCGCCCCGTCTCTCGCGCGCGTCGTCGTCCTCTCTCTCTGGCGGCGCGGGTTATAGCGGCGTGCCCGCGCGCGACGAGGAAGCGTGCAAGCGCGTCGTCTCTCGCACGCGCGACCCAGCGCAGCACGCGTCACCGCGGAGGAGTCGTGGCTTGGCCGTTTTTCGGGAGCGAAAGGAGGCTGTCGTTCGCGACGCACCGGCTGAAGCCGCCGCGCCTCGCGCCGAAGGCGAGAAATTTCGTGGGAAATTCAGCCGGTGTCGTCGACCCGCCGCCACCGACGCCGCCGACGCCGCCGCCGGTTCGCGATCGAGATTTTCCCGCGGCGAGTGTGTGCGCGATCTCCACGGGAAGAGCGTGAGAAGCGACAACGGGGATGTTCGGGCCTTTGCTAGCCGGCTGGTAAAACGAGACTCGCCCGAGGTGATTGCGCGTGTGATCGGCACCTCCGTGGACTGATTTCAAAGGCTTTCCCGAAGGGAGGAATCGCGAGCGATCCACTGTGCGCGACTGCTGCGGAAAAAAATCGCCCGGCTGTCAATTACGCGGCCGTTGAGAGGCGAAGCGAAAAGAACTGGAAAGAGCTGAATCAAATTGATCCCAAATTACCCTTTGCATCTTTGAGAGAGGGGGAGAGAGAGAGACAGGCTCGGCGAGAACGATCTTGCATGACGGCCGTGTACGACCACCCGTAACTACTGCGGTGAAAATTTTGGCGCTGTCAAGAAGTAGAACGATTCACGTCGATGAAAAACGGAACGCCGCTGTCGGAAAATAGAGTCGATTAATTCGAGAGGGAATTTCACCGAGCCCGTCGGGAGGGGTGGAGAGTGTTTCGTCGGCTCGCCGAGTATTCTGCCGTTTTTTACATGTGCGTTTTATATCGTCGCTCTTTTTACGGCGCGACAGCGCCTTATATACACCTTCTATTTTCGACGGTCTTTTCTTGGCGGAGAGAAGGGAGATCCGCGGCATAACACGAGGGGGATGATCGATCACGGCGGAAATTGAGGAGCAGCGGAATAACAACGCAGCGTATCGTGTCCGAGTGCACGCCTCGTGCAGCGGGGGTCGACCACCGATCTGTCATCGCCATTGTCGAATCGCCTAACGGCCGCGAGAGCCCTAGAGCCTCCCCGAGGGGAGGCGCAGCCCCCGGAAGGACGATAATCCCCGCGGAGAAAGGCGGTGCTCCGTTCAGGACGCGTTGCGCCATTTCAGGTGCGAGGCCCCCGAGCCTTCCGCTCGAGTGCTCGAGCGTGCCTCGGGACGTGCCTCGGGACGAGCCCCGGCTCCCTCGCTCTTACTCTCTCGCGCGCGCGCGAATCACGCGGCGAAAGAAACCGTTCGGCGGACATCAAAAGACCCGGTGATTAATGAACGCGGGTAATTAAGAAACATTAAGGCGGGCTGCCGAGGAGGACTCCTCGAAGAGAGATCCTCGTACTATTCGGAGAGCGTGTCTGTCGTCCTCTTCCCTCCCCCGCTGCACCCGCCACCTCGAGAGGATCCTCGCCGGAGGACATCGCCGCGGTGTCGACGGTGGGAGGAGGCCGTCTACCTTGGAGGTAAGGGAGAGCGAGAGCGAGAGGGAGGGAGACAGAGGGGAGAGGAGAGAGAGAGAGAGAAAGGAAGAGGAGAGGGGTGGGAGGCCTTTAGGGGTGGAAAATCGTTGGAGAATACCGTCGCGGTGAAATCACTCCTCTCGAACGCTCGCGAGACGATCAGACCGCGAAGCATCCCCCGCCGGGCCCCGTCCTGCTCCCTTGCCTGCCTTTCGCCCCCTTCGCCCTCTCGCCGCCGGGGTGCGAGTGGAGGAAGTGGCTGTCTGATCTCGGACGGAATGACAATAAGACTCCCCTTTGATTAATCGACGGAACAGAGGGACGGAGACGGGGGGGAGATACGCGGGAGAAAGAGGGAATTTGTCCTCTCCCGAGACGGCGGATTGTTTTGCAAGTGCTAAGAAGTTCCGGCTGTTAATAGAACTGACTAAATATAACTTGAACCGAGTAACTCAGACGTGAATTTACCGACCCGAGCCGGGACGATTCTTCGAGTAGCGCCCCGCGCGCCGAGGCGCCCGCGCGTCTCTTCGCTCAAGCCGGCGAGAATTGTTAAAACGAGTTAACAAACGTCTGTCGCGACAACAAGAAGGCATCCCCGGCGTCCCGGGACCTGTGGATCGTGTCCGGGGCCGATTTCAACGTGCGACGAGATACGTGTCCAAGTGTAGCGAGAGTGCGTCGATTAATCAAGTGATTAACGATTGTCCGTCGACTCGGGGGAACAAAGTTGCCCCGACTAATCCTTTCGTTCGCGCCCGGCGAGGAACTTGCCAGACGTGGGGTAAGCGCGAGGGGCGAGGTGCGCGACAATAACGCGAATGAATTCGGGAGGAGACGGGATAAGTAGAGTGGATCGAAATTAGAATCGTGTGCAGCCAGTGGAAGAGGGTCGGCGCTTGATCAGGCGGACCGGCCCAGCTACCCGTGGTAGCTCGGGCTGCACTACCGAGGAGAACTCATTTGCTTAAAGAGATCTCCCGCGGCCTCCGCCTCTGTGTAAAAGTGTGCGTTAAACCGAGTCGACGGAGCCCGCCGCGAGGCGACGATAACACGCGCGCGACGCACCGGCGAAAATAATTTGTAACGATCGATCATAAAGCGACGAGGGATATCGACGGGATTCCGATCCCGGCCGGATGTTTTCAAATGTCCATCTTTATTTGAGCCGGCGACAGGCGTCAATTTGAACGGTGAGTAATCTGGACCTCCATGCATCTTCCTGGACGAGTGACGAATGCCGGGACGTAATCGACAACGATAAGCGGACGTTAACAAATCGCAGCGAGGACAACGGGAGAATTTGCGTGATTCGTAGAAGGACGGTACAAGCGAGGAGAGCTGCGTGACGAAATCGCGTTACCGTCGAGAATCTATTGTTTGAGAGGAGTTTGATGGAAAATAACGTGGCACAGCTGCAACGAGAAGGAAAGAGAGAAAGAGAGAGACGGAGATCAATTGAACACCCTTAAATCCGGAGGACAATAAAGTTAAGAGAGGGTAATCGAAGGCAACCACGTGAGAACAACCGAGCCGTTGTTGAACTCGATACGTAGTAAAAAAAAAACGACGATATATTTTAGCAACGGATCGATCGGGGAAAGGATAAAAATAGTGACGGTAATAGGCGCGAGAACGTTATCCTAAAATATTAAGTTGATGCAAAAGGTTTGTCCGCATGACTGTCCACTTGTGTCTCCAGACACGATCACCCCTTTTATTCTTTGTCGTCAATTTTATCAATATTTACAATTGCACGAAAAGTGTCGAAAATTTGCAAGTCTAACTATTATTTCACGGTGAAAGTAAATTCAACGAAGGACTTTGCTCAAATAAATTTTACTGCCTGTACAGAGATACTTCTTAGTTTCTTAACGCACAAAATTCGACTGCAAATGAATGCAACAATATAAAAAGTAGCGCGAGATGCACCTTGCAAAGTAACAGAAGGCCCGGCAATCCCCTCGCACCGATCTAGCAGTGAATACAACGAGTGCGACGAGAGTGAAGGGGCGCAGTAGTGCGAAGGAGGCGGCGCGGATTTGTCGGTCGGGCACTTCGATGCGCCTCGGCAGCGGGCGTTCGGACTTGAGGGATCCACGCTCGAGCCGGTGAGTCGGTGTGCGTCCTGCACGCGCCGCCGGGACGAGGAGCCGGCCGGGGGCAGGTCCTTCCTGGTGTGGAATGACAATAAGGGGCCGCCGTACCCGCGGGGTGGCATTATGCAGGGAACGACGGATTTGAGCGTGCCACCCAAGTGCCCGGCGAAGGTGTCGCATCCCCTACGTGGGATGGCACTCGGGACGCTGGCCGAGATAGCGGTGAGACTCGTGATTAGCGGCTACATATTCGCCGTGGTCGTCTACGTGAACGCCAGCGGCAACTGGGATAAGGACGATGACCTAGGTACGAACCGGTCGCACGAACCACCGACGTTAACCACTTGCCTGACCCGCGCGAGGGGGTAACCACTGCCTAAAATGTTGTCCCACCGACTACACCATTTCAATTTGATTTCGTACGATTTCAATCCGATTGCAAATAATTTTCTTACGTGCGCCTTTACAAATATGTAACGTTGCTAAACCCCAAAGAGCTGTTAGATTTCCTCAAAATATATTTTCCTTATTTTACTGGGGAGTATTTGCTTGTAGAGGTAATTTCAGTTAAGATTGTAGTACTCGGTCGTGTGTTTCCTTGCTCCCCACTTTTTCCACTAGTCTAACCGTGGTCTTAACGAAAAATAATTTTGCATTTGTATTTACTGTTTATTGTTCCACATTTGCGCGCAAAGGTGTATCAACGTTTCACCTCGCTGCTGTTCCAACAGCAGCTACTTCAGTCTTATTATGAAAAGAATACGCGCTTATAAGTGTGCACTATGAAATATATTTGGATATTCACTAAAAGAAGTAAATCTTTGTGGAAAGTGAAAACAAGCTGAGAAAATGTTCAAATATAATGTTTATTGTCTAACAAGTGAAGAAATTTGAAAATTAAGACAAAACGATTACGCGGGGATTTCCTAAGGATGTCGTAATGATTTCGGAGACATTCTTCCACGATTACATCAAGTGGTTATCCCCTTGCTGTCGAGCGCGTGTCCCGAAACTACCGGCCAGATTTTCCCGTTGACAAAGGGGATCGTCCAGTGGCATTTTCTACGAGTAACGTTTTAATTTTCGTTCTCCCGGCGACTCGAGCCTGAAAAGTTCGCTGAAGCAACCGTCCATTGAAAGTTGATAAATACACTCATTTACTTAATAATGAAGTAATATTCATCGATCCCTCGAGGCACGATTTAATGAAATTTTACTTCTAAAATTGACGGTTCAATTTAATTTGGAATGAGAGTTCTCCAATTGCTAATTACTCGAAAACTATCGGTACCTCAATGTTCCCGTTGCGGAAACATCGATATTCGTAAGTTAACGAAGGAATGCGTAGTTGGAAAAAATTTATCTCGCGATTTTGGGACACGAAACGACCGTTTGTTACTCTTGTTTCTTTTTCCTTAACGAAATGTGAAAATGCGATAAAAAAAAAGAGAGAGAGTAGGTGCACAAAAAGAAGTATGTATGTGAGTGCGTATGAGTTTCCGCAAAAAAATGTATTTTATTTTGATCGTTATTAAAAAAGGGGAGGAAGAGGGGAAGATTGAATAATAAAAAACAGAAAGGATATTGCGGTCGGTTTTTCGCAAAAATACCGGGGGGGAAGGAAGTGGTTAAGTGAAGCTACGCTTAGCGATTCCCGCCGCTTTTCTTTAGATTATATTATTATTTCGTTGTGTGGTGTGTGTATATATGTATATAAAATATTGGCAAAGATTAACAAAGAAGGAAAATTTTCCTTGATCAGAGCCACAATGGGTCCCTTAATTCCGCTGGTAGCTTCGTTTGCCGTGCACACTCAGCATGTCCGGCGCAGAATGGAACTCTATATGGCTTTTGTGCGCAAAATGGAACCCAATACGTATTTCATAAATGCATATTGAAAAGTGGAAAACTGACAAAGTCATGAAATTGAAAACTGTTAGAATCGATATTTACCAAGTTATGGCATTTTGAAAATAAAACTGGGTCACAAAACGCAAAAGCAAGGCTCCCTTAAAACGTGATGAAATAATAAATAAGTTCCTGTTAATGCATATACGGTTAATGCCTTGATCAAAAGTGCGAAGCTTTTACAAGTTTTGAATTTATAATCCATCCCGCTTGCAGCTGTTTGAAAAATTTCCACTCGTATTTTCAATATTTTTTTCTCTTCCTCCCCCGACGTAATTACGCGAACGGCTATCTTATCTTGAACTTTTATTCACAGCTATTTTCCAGTTGCATTCGCGCCTTGTCAGTTTTTATTTATATCTTTGAAATGCCTTCCGCATAAAAAATGACACGCGTTTAAATAGATGGAACAGATAATAATCGCGCCGATACGATGCTAAAAAAGATAAATGGCTCGTGGCATGTACATTTTTCATCGGGGCGTCACAAACAAACGTAAAAGCGATATCCTGCCGGAAGAGTTCGTATTCGTGTTACAGACGTCGTTCGATTGATGAAAATTGCGGCATATCGGAAAACGGGAAATCAGACGCAGCTTGTTGCGATACCGGAAATCACTCGGAGCGTGAAACTTGCTCAAAGAAATGTTATGCGCCGTAATTATATTTCGCGCTGCCGGCTGGAAACTCTCCATTATGCGCGAAAACGAACTTCATTAGTGATATTTTTCAAGCTGCTTTTCCCGTTTCTCTTTATTCGTAAGAAGCAAAGCGGCTTCCTTTTTGTATGTCGCGAGGCAGAACTCTTTCTCGCGTCAAGAGTGGAATGTTAAATTGGAGGGAAATGCCTCTTAAGATATCTACACATCCTTGACGCGGCTTTATTTCGCGAAACCTAATGATATGACTCGCTTAGAGTTCAAGATCCTCGCAGCTGCGTTACTCGGGGTGTAATTTAAAATCACGCCAAACAATAAGAGGGAAAAAATTTAATCTCAACTTTTTCCCTGCTAAATCTCGTTTACCTGAATGGCTTGTGAGTTGGTTTACTTATAATACTTTCTACTAACTTAATAACTTTCCGCGTTCCTTCGTGATATAAAAGTCGGCGTTACAGCTCATTTAACTTATTAACCATATAATTAGCAATTCGCAAAACGTTGTGAGTCATTAAACATAATGGGCTTCGAAATTTTCATTAAAATTCAAAATTGCACTAATACTGTATACGACGCATCCGTGGCGTGCATTCGTCCGAATTATTAACTCAATTATTAAGCGACCCGTGACGCTTGCTTCTGAGAAACACGGGCCAAGTATTGCGAGTAACATTATTTAAAGCGTCCAGCTTAATGAGATTTAACCGGGAAAGAAACGTTGCATTGTTGTTCACAGCGGGTTTCCAGAGAAACCATTCGAAATCAGAGAGACATTGAAAGGAATTCATGATTCCTTAAACCTTCGTTTCAACCGTCAGCACAGCAGCTGTCGATCGAACGTGATCATTTACAGCGCGGAGAAATCATTCGGCCACTAATTAATATGCGATATCCTTTCGCGAATAATGTATAACTGTCTTTTATCAATCGCATTAAATATGTGACGCGAGTGGTCCGGTTAAAAGAATTTATCTCAATGTTGCATGATCGGTGCACGTCCAATAAATAAATCCCCTGATAAAATGCACGTTAAAATTAATGTTGCGCTCGATAGATACGCGGCGCCGCTTTATCTAATTAAATATCAATTTGTTGAGTCTCGCGCACAAATCGATAGGACACGCTGGTGTCGCAAAGTCCACCGGCAATTAACTGCGTTAATCACCTTTCTTCATCTTCTCCAGTGTCCACGTCTAAGGTCAGCGCCGTACTTGGCCGCACCGCCACTTTGCCTTGCGACATTGAGCCGTCCACGCGAGAGGATCGCGTCTACATGGTCCTTTGGTTCCGCGATTATGCGGTGAAGCCCATTTACAGGTAAGCAGCCTGCGGCCGGACCGCGGAGGAGAATTTGCGAAGGGAGTAAGAGCTCCACGGAGCTCGCGGGGTACGCGTTTGTAAGGGGAGAAAGAAGGGGAATTTTGAAAGTGATTCGCCGGTTATTCAGAAGATCGGTGTGAAATGCACGATTACAGTTTCGACGTGCGGGGACGGGCGTTCAACAAGGCCCTGAACTGGTCGGACAGCACCGTCGTGGGACCCAGGGCCTACTTCGTCACCGTGACGAAGCCGGCCGCGCTCTCCTTGGAGGCGGTCCAGCTGGACGACGAGGGGATCTACAGATGCCGGGTGGACTTCAAGAACTCGCCGACCAAGAACTTCCAAGTGAATCTCACGGTGATCGGTGAGGAAACTCATTACCGTAACGACCGCGTAACGCTGCTCCGCGGTGCTATGATTAACTGCGCCCCGGTAACGCGTAAAACGTCCCCCGAGGATCGTCCGAGATCGGCGAGGGGCCCGGGGGCCCCGCGGAGGAAGAGGGTGCCGGGGAATTGGTTGCAGTTAACGTCGGCCGATACGCGCGAGGTCTTTTTTTTCGTCTCGGCGCGAAGTTAAACTCACCGGGAACAATCTCTCTCTCTCTCTCTTTCTCTCTCCGTCCCGTCTCGCGCGGTTTCGCTAATTGAAGGGCCCGCCGCTGCGGCGGTCTAACCCACTTTCCTCCGTGCTCGCGGCGGGCGGGGGATGAATTAATCGAAATTTCATTTTTGCAAGTTTAAAATTAACTTTCGCGAGCTCTCCTTAAAAAGTCGCGCCGAAGTCCCGGGTCATTACCCGTCAATTATGGAAAGCGAGCCGCCGGTTCGCGGAATTGTGTGTTCGCAGTGCCGCCGCACCAGCTACTCATTTACGACAGTTCCGGGGTGCAGGTGGAGAACGTCGCCGGGCCGTTCCAGGTCGGCGTGGAGTTCGGTCTGTCCTGCGAGGTGAGGGGAGGTGAGCATTGCCCGCGTATTCCGATTCTTCTCTCCGCGATATGTCCTTAGGTAAATTTCGTGCAAACACGAGAGCTTTCGACCCTTATCTGTGTCTTCAACTTCTGCTCGCGGTTATTTACCTTACGCGCTCTCTCTCTCTCTCTCTCTCTCTCTCTTTCTTAGGTTTTCCGCCCTTATGCATATTTGACGTTCCGCTATGGAAATGGTAAATCAACGTTATCGCGAAGTTAATTATAATTTGGGACACGCAGTCCGCACGCATCGAAATTTCTTTATAATCTCTCTTTACAATTAACATAATTAAATGACAGAGATGGGAGGTGAAATACCGTATTGCGAGATAGACCAAATTTCTCGTCGCATAGTTTAAAAGCGGCGATAAATTTATCATTACGCGCGCTCGCGTGCATATATATATACGCATGTATATATATGTATTATACCCACGCAGAATAAAATATCTAATAAATATCCAATAGATATCTACATATCCATATGATGTCCACAGCTACTATGGATATCTAATAGATACCCCCGTGAAAGAGTACATATCCCAAAATGTATTATATAATATATCAATACTTATACATTAATATGTATAAATGTATATATAAAATATAAGAATGCATACAACTAATTAAATCATTTTTGCCGCCTATGACACAGAAGAAATATAAGAAAATACTATACATTTACATGAAATATGCAAAATATATTTTAAATACATAATCTAATATATAAAATAGATATATTAGAATATATGTATATGAAATATATGCCTGCATATATGAAATTAAATCATTTCTTGCCGTTTAAAATAAATGATGAATATAAGTAAAGAAGGTATATTTTTACTGTACTGAATATATATATACAAATATGTATGCAATTTATGTATTACATATATTTTTAAATATATTTTTTCATCGGGGTATCTAATAAATGTATAAAATGTGTCTATATCTTCCGCATAACCAGCGAGGATATCTAATGGATATGCGTATAGTATCTACATATCCATGTCCACCAAATAGCTACCAAGGATGTCCATTAGATATTTACGTATCGTTCGCATATCCACGTTCGCCAAATAGCTACCAAGAATATCCAATAGATATTTACGTATCGTCCACATGTCCAT